ATTTCTTTCATATAGATAATTATCACGAAACCTTATTAGCTGATATGCCTTGCCAGGTCTTTTATAAATCATTTCCATGTATGCGTGGGTGCCCATGGGTTTTCTATTACGCTCCACTATCAATTTTGTTTTTATGTGGTTAGCCGCGCTAGAGTCAGCCCTTGACTCATGATGACCCACGCGCAACAGAATGGAATGCTACCCAGTCCTGTGCCATCCCCATGGTCAGTTGTGGATAAGGCCCTTCTGATCTATAGGGTTTTCATTTACAGGTTGTCAGAAGTAGATTTCCAGGTCTTTCTTCTCCTGGTCAGTCTTAGTCTGGAAGCTCCACTGAAACCTCTTCCACATCATGTTGTTGTTTGCTGTCAAGTTGATTCCAACTCATAGAGACACTACAGGACAGCCTAAAACTGCCTCATAGGGTTTCCTAGGCTGTAATCTTTATGGAAGCAGATTGCCCGGTCTTTTCTCCCACAAAGGGACTAGTGAGTTTGACTTTTCAGTTAGTGGCTGAGCACTTAACCACTGTGCCCACCAGGGCTCCTTGTTGAGTATCATAGCAACATGCAGGCCTCCACTGACGGATGGGTGGTGGAGGCACGAGATGCATTGACCTGGAATCGAACCAGGTCTCCCACCTGGAAGGCATGATTTCTACCACTGATCACCACTGCCCCATCTATTTGGTTAACTCCAGTTAACACTGCCCAGTCTTGGTTTCTATGGCTCTCTGTCTTGATATTTGCACATCAGGTCCCTCCACCTTATTCATTGTCTTCAGAAGTGTTTTGGCTTGTCTTCACTCTTTGGTCTTATGCATAATTGAAGAATAAACTTGTAAAATTTATTGCAAACTCTGTTGGGATTTGTATTGGAATTGCATTGAATTCAGAGATTAACTTCAGAAATTTGACACCTTTAATAAGGATATCTGTTACAGTATTCATAAACATGATCACTGTGTAACTCCATTTATTTAGGATTTCTTTAATGCTTTTCATAAAGTTAATAACAATTCTCCATAAAGTTGTTACTCATAATTTGCTAGATTATCCCTAGACAACATATGATTACATTTTCTTGTTCAAATCAAGTTTTCTGTTGTTTAAAAATGCAACTGACTTTTGAATATTCATTTTGTATCTGTAAATCTCACTACTTTATTAACCTTAATTTGTTACCTCTGAATATTGATAGCTTTATATCTTTCTTTCCAATCTAATACTTTTATTTTATTTTTTACTGTACTGGATAGGACATATTGTACAATGTTGAATAGAAGTGATAATACACTTTCCTTGGCTGTTCTCATTTTAAAGGAATATTTCAAACATTTCATAATTAAGAATGATCTGTGCTATAGGTACTTTTGTAGATTTCCTTTACCTGATAGTTTTTCTTTTCCTAGTTTGTTGTTTCTTTTTAAACCATTATTGTGGTTGAGTATTACTTAATGCATTTTCTGCATGTATTGAGAAATGGCTTCTCTCCATTTGCTAATGTTCTGAATTTATTTTTAGATTTCCTAATTTCACCCTTGCACTCCATATATTAATTCAAGTTGATTATAGTCCATCATCTTTTTTTTCTTTTAATAAATGATGGAATTGCGTTGCTAATATTTTATGATTCTTTTAGTATGTTCTTGAGTAAGACTGACTTGTATTTTTCTCTTGGAAGACTTAGTATACCTTGGAGTGATCCATCTATCAAGGTTCAGTAGAATTGCCTGAATGCCTTTCCAGCCTGCTCTTTCCTTTCTGGCAAGTTCAGTCCATTTACAGATATTGTGATTACTAACATATAGGGAAGTGTAGCTAACATCTTACTGTGTGCTTTTTACTCCATTTTTCTGTGCCTTTCTTCTTTGCCTTTTTTTTTTTTCTTATTCCATTTTCTCCCCTTCATGGATGGTTGTTGTTGTTGTTGTTAGGTGCCGTTGAGTCAGTTTCCTACTCATAGCAACCCTACGTACAACAGAACAAAACACTGCCTTGTCCTCCGCCATGCTCACGATCATTGTTATGCTTGAGCCCATTATTGCAGCCACTGTGTCAATCCATCTCGTTGAGTGTCTTCCTTTTTTTCACTGACCCTCTAGTTTACCAAGCATGATGTCCTTCCATAAGGACTAATCTCTCCTGATAAACATGTCCAAAGTATGTGACACGAAGTCTTGCCATCCTCGCTTCTAAGGAGCATACTGGCTATACTTCTTCCAAGACAGATCTGTTCACTCTTTTGGCAGTCCACGGTATATTCAATATTCTTCACCAACACTATAATTCAAAGGTGTCAATTCTTATTCAGTCTTCCTTATTCATTGTCCAGCTTTCGCAAGCATGAGGCAATTGAAAACACCATGGCTTGGGTCAGGTGCACCTTAGTCCTTAAAGTGACATCTTTGCTTTCTAACACTTTAAAGAGGTCTTTTGCAGATTTGCCCAATGCAATGCATCCTTTGATTTCTTGACTGCTGCTTGCATGGGTGTTATTGGATCCAAGTAAAATGAAATCCTCAACGACTTCAATCTTTTCTCTGTTTATCATGATGTTGCTTATTGGTCCAGTTGTGAGGATTTTTGTTTTATGTTGAGGTATAATCCATGCTGAATGCTGTAGTCTTTGATCCTCATCAGTAAGTGCTTCAAGTCCTCTTCACTTTCACCAAGCAAGGTTGTGTCATTTGCATATCACAGGTTGTTAATAAGTCTTCCTCCAATCCTGATACCCCATTATTCTTCATATAGTCCAGCTTCTTGGATTATTTGCTCAGCATACCATGGATGAGGAGTTACAAACTCCACTCATTTTCAGCTCTTACCCTAAAATTTCACCAGGTATATTTAAATTAAAAAATTAATCAATATCACAATGCCCCTCCTGAAGACAAAGACTTGGGAACACCAATTTTGAGCACTTCTCTCAATTAACTTGTTAATGTCCAATATTTAATTTTTTAAACTAATTTAGGCATAGTTTACCAGTATGTCGTGCCATGTTTGAAAAACAACAAAGGCTCATTAAATGTGATTTGGAGTAAAGTCCTTTCTATCATTCTATCACACCATCTATATTTTATAAATACAGACTAAACTCATCTGGCAAATCAAACATGAGTCTCAAAATTATGGCTCATCAATTACATGAATTGACAGATTTTGCCAATTGTATATAGACTACCTTTCAAAAAAATTAAAAACAATTTTCTTTAGACTAAATCTATGCTGAATAGTAAATTTATATTCAAGGCTTCAGATGACACTTCCAGATGGTGACTACCTCAAGTATTAGCGTAGTCAATTAATATTAAATAACAAAGCATTGAGAATGTTAGAAAATAATAACTGCTACAAATTCATCGTCTCTTTTTCTTCAGGCTAGAAGAATGGTGAATGAATGCCCATCATTAGTGGCTTATTCTACTGTGATCAGAAGTACATCACATTCCCACATGAGTATTATACATTGTAAGGGTAAATCATCCTTAACCTGTCCTTCTTTGAATCTAGACTCCCTGACACACTGAGAACTTATATGCCTGACACTGAGCAGTGGAATTAAACTTTGGTGTCTTAGGCTGGGTTCTCTAGAGAAGCAAAACCAGTAAAGCATGTAAATATATATAGAGATTTATATCAAGGAAATGGCTCATGTGATTATAAAGGCCGGGACATCCCAAGTCAATGGATCAGGACAGAGGCTTCTCCTGATTCACGTAGTGGCAGGGGCTGGTGAACCTAAGATCGGCAGGTCGGAGAGCAGTGCTCTTGCTCACAGGCTGTGAAGACTGACGAATCCCTAGATCGGCAGGTAAGCTGCTAGCTTAAGCCCCAAGAGCTGGAGGTCAGACAAACAGGAGGCAGCTGCAGGATCCAGAGAGGCAAAAGCCAGAACGTCCACTTATATTCGGATGCAGGCCACACACCCAAGGAAACTCCCTTTCAACTGACTGGCTACTCACAGCAGATCCCATCGTGGGGGTGATCACATACAAACACTGAGAATCATGGCCCAGCCAAGTTGATACACGATCTCAACTATCACACTTGGTGTCACCACCTTTTCTTCCCATAGCCATACCTTTTTTAGAATGCTACTCTAAACACATCAGGCTTACTAGGAAACCAAAAACTGTTCTTCCTCTTTAAATCTGTATTTGTATGAATGGCAAAAGCATTCACCCAAGCCAGAAACCCGACCTTGTCAATTCAGCTTCTAAAGGCTCTGAAATGTTCCTCTCTCTTCCCTTTTCTTAATGGCAAACCTCACAATCTTCATTTTTGGAGTTCATTACCTCTAATCCATCTTCCATGCTGCAGCCTGAGTGATTTCAGCAAAGTGCTTTCTAAAAAAGTTCCCAACTGTTGACTACAGAACTCCCAACTGCTTAGCATGGTTTACAAGTTATTTGTAATTAGGCCCCTCCTTTGCCTTTTTAGCTTCATTCAAACTATACACTATGTTCCATCAAGTTATAAGAATATGCTATGATATTCAGTCACATATTGTTGCTGCTGTAATGGACATAACACAAGTTGGTGGCTTTAAAGAACGTAAATTTCTTTTCTCACAGTTCTAGAGGCTAGAATTCCAAATCAAGGTCTTGGCTGTGTCAATTCCTTGTAGGTAGGCCCTGTTTTCCTTGGTTCCTTGGCTATTCTCACTTGGAATCTATTCCTCCTTCTGTGTCTATGTCTCATCTGCTCGTTATAACTCTGAAGCGATTAGATTTAGAACCCACCCTACTCGGGTATGATTAAATTAACAAAGAAAACCCTATTTCTAAACATGCACAGGTGTAGGGGTTAGGATTCCAATACATATTTTTTTGGGTGGCAGAACTTAACCCATAACACACATTGTGGCTTTATAAAACACAAAAAACCAAGCCTTTTGCCGTTTAGTCAGTTCCGACTCATAGCCAACCTACAGGACAGAGTAGAACTGTACCCATAGGGTTTCCAAGGAGTGGTTGGTGGATTCAGTCTGCCAACGTTTTGGTTAGCAGCCAAGCTCCTAACCACTGCTCAACCTAGAAGATATTGTTACTCGTCCTTTAAGACTTTGGTGTCAATGAAAAGCTTACTGACTCCCTCAGGCAGTAAGGTACTCACTCCCCTCCCACATGTTCTTATAGTATGTGGTGGTACAAACAGCCTGGTATGGAATTAGTGCTTGGTTCAAATATACCACTTACTCATTGTGTGAGCTTGCATTTTGGCTTCATCTAGTTAATGAGGTTACTCGTGTTTATCTCAGGGTTATTGTGAGATAGATACATAAAACCAGTCCCCAGTAATTATCACAAGTATGCCAAAAAAGTTCTCTTCACTTTCATGTAAGCCTTTAAGTGCCCAATGTATGTCAGATGCCAAGAATACATCTAAAGGATGAAGAGTTCCTCTTCTCAAGGGGCTTATATATAGAACAGACACAGACCTCAGCAGCATCACACTGTATAAAGATTCCTCAGTAAATTCTTTCTGACTGAATGGCTGACATATATAAGGAACACAATGTATCTTTAAAAAGTCTTAGGAATGTAAGCTTTGAACAAAAATTTTCTATACAGGCAGTCCCCAGGTTATGAACGAGATCTGTTCCTAGCTGTGTCTTTCAGTTGAATTTGTAAGTAAGTAGGTAAGGCAGAGCAGGTGCCTACGGTTCTTATTTAGCCTGACTTCAGTGCAAGGAAAGGCTGGAAGCCTTGTCAGTGATTTAAAAGTTGCACGTGCAGCGAGTGAAGGTGACTGTGATGATGAGTTTGTTGTGAGCAGGGGTTGGTTCAAACCTTTCAAAGTGAGGGCCAATTAACGTAATATTAAAGGGCAAGGACAATTGTTCATAAGGGCCATTCGTAACCAGGGGACTGCCTGTACATTAGCTCCAGCACAGACAAAAAAATTAAAAAGCCTATCTAAGTAGTTAATAAAAACACTTATAAAATAGTTGTCATATCCATAAAGTTTATTTTAAAAAACTGTTAAAAACTAATCATACAGGAATATTTATTAATATATTTAAAAAGTTTGTTCAAGGAAAATACATTAGCAACATCTTCCAGACACCATCTTTATAAAAGTAAAACTTCTAAATGCTGAAATGCACTACAGTAGACTCTATGGTTTCCACTTTTAATCACAGGATCGGGTATCGTTCTCGTCTCTTCTTCCCCAAACGTGGCACAGTTACTCTTTTTAAATAGCTGACATTCAGTCACATCCTCCTACCACAGTCCTTCAACAGAGTGCACGCTGCATGTTTACTAACAGAGCAAGTCTTCTCTATTTGCTGTCACAATTACTTTAGATGAGCATTTTACTTTAAATACAAGTACTACATCCCATGATTGTAAACATTCACCAAGAGCTTCCAGAGCACAACGTGTAACAGAGGTGGCCTAAGAGTCAGTGAGCAAGCCTGGTGGCACAGTGAGTTAAGCGCTCGGCTGCTAACCGAAAGGTCAGCAGTACAAACCCGCCAGCTGCTCTGTGGGAGAAAGGTGTGGCAGTCTGCTTCTGTGAAGATTACAGCCTTGGAAACCCTATGGGGCAGTTCTACCGTCCTGTAGGGTCAGTCACTATGAGTCAGAATCCACTCCACAGCAGTGGGTTTGGTTTGGTTTTGGAAGAGTCAGTCAAATGTTCCTCATTCATTTGGATACTGCTGACATTAAATAATATGTTTTGAAGGCAAATCATGTACCATAAGCCTTACTTGTATTTCTGTAAGAAAGTAGTTCTGGGTGTGCAGTTTTAGTGAAAACACCTGAAAGTCATTCTAAAGACTACATTAAGCACCATTTTCACTTACCTGAAATATATTGAGTTAAATTCAGCAGTACATGTATGATCATTAATATCATAAATTAAAAATACCTGTGGGTCTCGAGTTCCCCTTTGCAGACACACATGGGGCAGAGTCCCCACTGTACTCCTGGGGACTACTCGTGCACGCCAAGGGCAGCTACTCCCCCGGGGCCACATGCGACCCGTCAGTCTGAGGCACATCTATCACTTCTGTCAGCAGACACCACACAAGCAGGTTTAAGGCTGTATTCGGCTATAGAGTTCAACCTCTTTCATGTTCTCTCTAAGCAGCTCACATACACAATTCAAGACCTCAGAGGATGGCAGGTGACAAGTCCCCAAGTGCTTTTTGAGTCCTATTCTCCACAGAGTCTGTTGTCAGTATATTTACATAGGGGGGCACTCACACTTAAAACTGTGAAAAAAATGCAACCATGATTTTCAAACTCTTCTCACAACTACCCTCATTCTCACTGTGGGACTCTTTCCAGCTTCACATTGGTCAGATTGTTCACTGCAGTCCTCAGGCAATTCTGATGCTGCTCCAAAGGAGAAGAGAAATGAAAATCTATTCACTGCCACCCACTCTGGGAGAGGCCTGGTTGCAAAGCAAATGGTGTTCCTGGCGTTGAAGGGTAACTAGGAAACCCATCAGGTTGAGCTGGATAGCTCTCCAGAGCCGAAGCTGAATGGACCTATTACAAAGAAGAACATGCAATTTAGCAGGGTGCCACATGCAATCAAGTCTCTCCTTCCCACATTACAGATATTTAGAATAGGAAAGAAAGAAAAAACTTTTGGGCAAAATAAAGTTTGCTCAGTCTCTTGAAATCTTTTAGAAACGTTGAAACTTCTTCAGGTGCAGGAGGTACATGGAAATGCCACCAAAATATTTAATATCCTTTAAAAGAAAAGTTAATAGATGTTCTAGAGAGATTTTGCTTTAATGGTCCATTATTTTCACTAAAACTGTAGAAGACAAAATTTAACTGTCATGGATAAAGATACCATTTTATTAAGTCAAGTCTCCACCGTGAGATTTTAAAGTCTGTAAGCAAGAAAAGCAATCACAGAGAGGGATATATTCTCCCACCTTTGTCACCGCTCTGAAAGAAGACAAGCGTAACTTGCAAACCTGGGAGGCCCAATCACCACACACCTGCTCTCTCAATGTTACCATTCTGTGGTTATTGTTAACTGCTGCGGAGTCGTCCATGACTCACGACAACTCCATGTACAGCAAGACTGGACCACGGTGACCCATGGGGTTTTTATTGGCTACTTTTCAGAAGTAGATCACCAGGCCTTTCTTCCTAGTCTGTCTTAATTCAGCATCATAGCAACATGCAAGCCTTCACTGACAGACGGGTGAAGGCTGTGCTTGAGGGGCTCACTGGGAAATGAACCCAGGTCTCCCAAATGGAAGGTGAGAATTTTACCACTGAGCCACCACTGCCCCCTACATGTTATCCCTTGAGAAGCTATACTATGCACGTTACCATTTTATTTACGCCAGGCATTGCCTGCTTACCTGCTGTAACAATGCTGACTGTGCAGCTGCATTATGCTGTAGTTCTTGCAAAGAGGACTGTGAAGGATTCTGGGAAAACCCTGGGATACCTGGGAGGGACAAAAGGCCCGGAAAAACAGAGCCACCTGCAGCTTGAAGCCCAGATGATAATCTAAAACAACAAACAGAAGAGCAGGTCAAACACCAGCAAACACATGAAGGCTACTGCTTCTTTAGTTGTCAAATATTATATTAGAATATTTAAAAAAAAAAAACAAACTTAGAATTTCTCTGTCAGAAGGAAACAAAAAAAGTAATCTTAGTCAACTACTCACTGATATGAAACGTAAAAGTATACTTTTCTGAATTCAGTAAGTTTATGTTTTGCTGCTTTACAACCAAGTTAAATTATTCAGTACAAATCCAAAAATTATGTGAACAGGCACTGATATTTACATATTTACTTTAATGTGGAGGAATGGCATAAAACATTTTTTGAGCACTGAAGACTCAGCTGAGAAAAATATATAATTTAGCACCACCAAATAACTGGATTTTGATTTTGGTTTGAATAACTTAAGACTATGAACTCCAAGTTAGGTGAAAAATGATTTTATCCTACTTCCAAAATATCCACATACCCGGCTTGTGCAACCAGAGCGGAGTTGAAGTTGGAACTAAACGCTGACGCAAATCCTGGGAGGACTGGGGCAGGTGACGGGGCTGTTGCAGCGACAGGCAGCGGGGTGACAGCTGCCACTGTGGAGGGCGCCTGCAGCCCTGGGAAGGATGGGGGAGCAGGGGTAACGCTGGGGGCATTAGAGACAGAGAAGCCAGGGTACGACGAATTTGAGGACGGCAGAGGTCCTTGCGTAACTGAGAAAAGGGAGGGGACAGCAGTGGACAAGTTGAGGGCAAAAGGGGCTACCGAGACGGGGGCAGAGGCAGAAAGCCCTGAGAGAAGCGCTGCTGTGGAAGCAGGGTGAGGGAGAGAGGAGGAGGTGGCCGTCGGAGACGAGGTGGCTACTAAGGAGCCCGGAAGAGACACTGACGGGTTAAGAGAGGGGTTGCCAGTTACAGGAAAATTACCAGTCAGAGAAGTAAAAGGAGGAAGAGCAGTGAATACTGGAGCGATGGGAGTGGCGGAGCCGTTGGGGGGGAGGGAAATAGAAGCATTCAAGGGAGCACTCAGACTAGAGAGACCTGACAATGCAGTGTTAAGGCAAGTAGACAGACTGATGGGCACCGACGGTGACGTGTACGCTCGGCCCACGGTCCCCGACAAGGCTGACGCGCCATGAGAGGGATTAGCGGAATGAGATGGGCCTTTGAAGGCCGAGGGAGTAGGACTTGTGGGCTCAGTTTTGATCGTGACAGGAAGAGTCGTTACAGCAGGGCTAGACAAAATACGCACATCTGAGTTACCAGGGTGAGGGCCGTGCAAAAGGGAAGCTGAGGCGCCACAGCTGGGGGGCACTGAAGTGGCAGACGACGTGGGCACAGCTAAGGGAGACTGCACGGGCACAGCAGGGGGAGCGGACGTGGAGCTGGCCACAGGCGATGGAAGGCCCGGGAACAGGGCCAGCCCTGGAGTGGACGGCCTCTGCGGGGTGGGGATGGCAGAGGGGGCGTAGCACTTGCCGGAGGCTGAAGCAGGAGCATCTGAGTTCTGATTAGCAAGAGACGATAAGGAAGCCAGCCCGCTTGTAACAGCGGAGGATAAAGCAGAAGAGCTGATTAAGCCGGTATCGCTTGCCGTCAGGAAGCCTTTTAAAGCAGATAGAAGAGGATTACCGACGCCCAGTGGGCCGGCAGCACCGGAAGCAGAACCACCAGCAATTACAGGAGTTGGGGTGGATACCCCTTGGGATGCTGGTGTTAAGGGGAGACCTGCAAACACCGACGCCAGTGAAGCCGAATTCGGGGTGTTGGTAGAAGCAGCAGTAGAGGTGGCAGAAAAGGGGAGGCTAGAGAAAGGGGCAGAAGTAGAAGCGAATGTTTCACTGGAAGCAGGGGCGGCCCGAGGGGTAGACGTAGACTGAGCAGCTGGGGGAGGAGCAGCAGAAGGGCCTGGCAGAGGAACGAGACCAGAAAAAACTGAAGGAACGGGAGCAGATGTTGTGCTGTGAACGGAAGTAACAGGTGCAGTAGGCAAGGAAGGGGTTCTGATGACTGTTGGATTTGGTGCCGACGGCTGGGACGTATGAAGGGCTGAGGAGACCTGCCCTGGGAAGACGGGAAGAACGGTGCTGGGCGTGTTGGTCCCAGGAGCGCCGGTGGCTGCTGATGCTGACAGATGATTCACGGCCTTGATGGGTGACGCAGTAGGGGCAGGGGTTGCAGCAGGAATGGAAGGATTAGAACCATGAGGAGAAAAGAGCTGACTGGCTGGGATGGAAAACGCTGTGGGGAGAAAAGGGGGCGAGAATTTATCGTCATGCTGAAATGTCAAACTTCAACTAAAAGAAATGCACACAGATTTCTGTAATATTTAAAAAATATCTAAGAAAATCAACGATCGATATAATAAGCCACTGCAGCGAGTAAGCTGCTGAACTCCATTCCCTTCAGCGTTCCCTAAGGTGCCTCAGTCAGCTGGAGGTCCCCTCTAGACCCTGCTCAGAACATCTCTCCAATTCACAGCGAGGAGGCTTGAGAAGCAAGCAAATGTAAGTCCCTTTCACATGCTTCACTTTTTAAAATTCAAAGAGTTTTTCTCCATGCATTTGCTCATTCTGACCACTCTACATCACTCCCAATTTTTACCTGGCTTGTCCTGCAAGCTCCTTTTGGGACAAAAAATGTGGTAATTCACCCTAACAGCCAGCACAGTGCATGACACCAGGGTGTTGGATAAGTGTTTGCTGCGCTGGGTATACCACAATGACCCCAAACTGAAGTTCCCAAATCCATCCAAGCAGTATTCTCAAGACTTCTAGAGTTTGCTACAATATTGCCATTTTGTGTTTTTATTTTGATAATCTCTACAAATAACTAATATTAGCATGTGGGTTTTCTCCTTGAATGAATTCAGTGATGTTTGCTTTTAATGATCTGACTGGTGCCAGATGAAAACCATGACTTAGGCATCTGATGTCATAATGACAACTATCATCCACGCTGTACTTACACTATGTCAGCTGTAAGCAGAGAATGTGCCTTTTGCAGTGAGACTTACTGTTTTTATCAACTATGCATAATTAAGATTCCAACGACCTAAGGAAGCAGACATGGCCAGTGCAGTAACCAGCAATGCACGATGCCAACCACGGGCGGGTGGGGAAGAGGAGACAGGAGAAGAACTGAAGGAAACAACGTACAAACGATGCATGTGCGCTCAGTGAAGGCCAGAAAGGGCCAGGACGTGCCGAACAAAGTCTCCCGTTGTTTCAGAAGGGAAATACGGTAGAAGAACTGACACACAGCAATACGTAAATCTATAAACTTCAAACTCAAAAGAGCCTCAAATCTCTACCCCATTCATGCTGAAGGAGTGATTCCGTTTCAGGAAAGTAACATCAGCTATTACTTTAAATTGTTGTATATATGGACACGGATTTGAACTTTTGTTTGTATTTATTTTATAGTTTTATAAGAACTACTACTGCTACTGTTAGGTGCCATCAAGTCAATTTCTGACTCGCAGCCACCCCATGTGACACAGCAGAACTGCCCGATAGGGTTTTCTGGGCTGTAATCTTTACAGGAGATCACTGGGTCTTTCTCCCAGGGAGCCGCTGGGTGGGTCTGAGCTGCTAATACAAGAATAAGGAATATATACCTAGTTTTGTGTTTATGGATAAATGTATCAAAAAATTATTTGTAAACACTTCTGGGGAAACATCTGAGAATTCACTATCTTATTTAACTACATGCCAAAGATCATGTAGTTAATGACAGATCAAGGTAAAACCAAGCTATCCTAGAATGCTCTTCACAGCAGCCTCTGTTGGAAATCTTTTAAATAAAATCCAGCAAAAGCCACACACTATTAATCAGTGCAAACAGTTAAAATTCCAACCACACACCATGATAAACATCACTTTCTTGTTCTTTAATTTGGTTTACTAACCATGAAAGCCTATCGGTCAGACCCTTTACATATATCACTTCATTTGTCCTCACAACAACCCTCTCAGATAGGTACCAACATCTCCCATTTTACAGCTGGGCGATCTAAGGCTTGAAGCAGCAAAGAAACGTTAAAAGATCATGCAGCTAGTAAGCGAAGTGGTAAAGCCAAGATTTGAACCAGGTCTTTTAGACTCATGTTCTCTACCACTCAGGAACAAGTGTGCTATTCCTATCGATGGTACATAGACACTTAACCTGATTATTCCCCTCAAAAACAGCTCTAGTAATGTGGCTGAATGTAAAGGCCGGTGTTTCCTGACCAAACAGTACCTTTGCTCTTTTTATTTTTGTAGTTAAATGGCCTGCTCAAGGTCACAAAGCTAGGTGGTGCCACAGCCACCATGAAGCCTAGGTGTTCCGACATTTCACTTAGTGTCCTTCTACCCCACTCTGCTACCGTCCTTAGAAACCGCCAGCTAAACAGCACCGTATTAGGCAGTGTTCTCAGAGAGCGGGGCTGTCCACAGGGACTCCTGACCACGTGCCGGTCCTGCGGCTTAGACTCCCGGGCTACTGTGCTAGACGAGGACTGGTGGCGGTTTCTGTCTCACACCAGAAAGCACCTCGCTCCTGATCACAGAAACCCTCAGCTAGGAGAAGAACGAGATGTTACGGCGCTGCTGCCATCTGCAGGCACCCAGCGGCCCAGGCCACCTCTGTTCACCGATCCCTTCTCTGCTTTGGCACGCCAACTCCTCTGCACGCTGAGTTATGCCGCCCCAGGTACTTAGTGAAATAATTACATCTAACAGCAGGAGCTGACACAGCACTGGTCAAAAGGGTTTTCATTATCCTATGTGTTTATATCAAAACTTATCTGAAAAGAAATGAGGCTTCCAATATTACATAACATAACGTGAAGGTGGATTCAATACCACACAGCACTCAGATTACACTGCAAGCAATACAAATAGAGAACAAAGTCGTCAGGTTAATTTTAAATATAGTTAGTATGTGCATTTCATGTTGTGTGTATAAAATTTATCACGATTAAACTACTTTTAGCAAGCATTAATTAATTATAGTTAGACTTTTTAATCAGGAACTGTTGTCAAAACATAAAAGATTTCAAATACACTCAACTCAAAGTGAATAACAGAAGAGACAATCACAACAGATACCAGTTATCTCTGGATCAAATCTGTTACTTACTTTGGTTCTGTGTAGGTTTTGACTGATAGGAAAGGTCTTCATTTTCTATATAAAATTAAATACGTAAAAGTTGATTCCAAGCTTTAGCCAAATTGTTCACTACCATAATAATCAGAGATGAGAAGAAAAAAAAAAAAATCCAGGATATAAATATGTATGTACACTGTGCTGGGGAAAAAAAAAAGTATGCATATGGGGAGGAAAAAAAAAAAGAAATAAAAATCCTGATAGTAACTCCATGGAGATTACGATATGATTGTGAGCAACTGCTCCCGCCCACCCCGCTTCCCCTTAACTTGTCAGGTTTTAAACAAACATTGTTCTTTTACAGATATCTTTAAAAACATTTTCTGGAGACGTGATGGTCTGGGTATGCCGCAGGAAGAAAACTTGGCCTGTGGATGGAGTGAGAGGAGCCACTTCTGGGCACACTGCCTACAGCAGCTGGAGGACATGGAAGTGGGAGGTGGTTGCTGATCCACTGCCAAATCCACTATGCTCTGTTGTTGTTAGGTGCTGTCGAGTTGGCTCCAACTCATAGTGACCCTACATACAACAGAATGAACACTGCCCAGTCCTGTGCCATCCTCACGATTGTTGCTATGCTTGAACCGATTGTTGCAGCCACTGTGTCAATCCATCTTGTTTGGGGTTCTTCCTTTCTAGCTGACCCTCTACTTTACAAAGCATGATGCCCTTCTCCAGGGACTGGTCCCACCTGTACGAGAGACAAAGTCTCACCATCCTCATTTCTCAGGAGCATCCTGGCTGTACTTCTTCCAAGATAGATTTGTTCGTTCTTCTGGCAGTCCACGGCATATTCAATATTCTTCGCCAGCACCATAATTGAAAACGATCAATTCTTCTTCAGTCTCCCTTATTCACTGTTCAGCTTTCACATGCATGTGAGGTGACTGAAAATACCATGATTTGGGTCAGGCGCACCTTAGTCCTCCAAGTGACATCTTTGCTTTTCAACACCTGAAAGAGGTCTTTTGCAGCGGAGTTGCCCCATGCAATATGTCATCTGATTTCTTGACTGCTGTTTCCATGTGAGTTGATTGTGGATCCAAGTAAAATAAAATCCTTGACAACTTAAATCTTTTCTCCACCTATCATGATGTTGCTTATTGGTCCAGTTGTGAGGGTTTTTGTTTTATGTTGAGGTATAATCCATACGGAAGGCTGTGGTCTTTGATCTTCATCAGTAAGCGCTTCAAGTCCTCTTCACTTTCAGGGAGCAAGGCTGTGTCATCTGCATATTGCAGATTGTTAATGAGCCTACGTCCAATCTTGATGCTGCATTCTTCTTCATATAGTCCAGCTTCTTGGATTATTTGCTCAGCAAACAGATTGAATAACTATGGTGAAAGAATACAACCCTGACGCACACTTTTCCTGATTTTAAACCTCGCAACATCCTCTTATTCTGTTAGAACGACTACCTCTTGGTCTATCTACAGGTTCTACATGAGCACAATTAAGTGTTCTGGAATTCTCATTCTTCGCAATGTTATCCATAATTTGTTATGATCCACACAGTCAAATGCCTTTGCATAGTCAATAAAACACAAATAAATATCTTTCTGGTATTCTCTGCTTTTAGCCAGGATCCATCTGACATCAGCAATGATATCCCTGGTTCCACTTCCTCTTCTGAATCTGGCTTGAATTTCTGGCAGTTCCCTGTCGATGTACTGCTGCAATCATTTTTTAATTATCTTCAGCAGAACTGTACTTGAATGTGCTATTAATGACATTGTTTGATAATCTCCACATTCTGTTGGATCACCTTTCTTTGAAATGGGCACAAATATGGATTTTTTCTAGTTGGTTGGCCAGGCAGCTAGCTTCCAAATTTCTTGGCACAGAGGAAATGAGAGCTTCCAGCTATGCATCCGTTTGTTGAAACATCTCAATTGATATTCCATCAATTCATACAGCATTGTTTTTTTACCAATGCCTTCAGTGCAGCTTGGACTTCTTCCTTTAATACCATCAGTTCTTGACCATATGCTACCTCCTAAATGGCTGAACATCGACCAATTATTTTTGGTACAGTGACTTTGTGTATTTCTTCCATCTTCTTTTGATGCTTCCTGCATCATTCAGTATTTTACCCACAGAATCCTTCAATATTGCAATTTAAGGCTTGAATTTTTTCTTCAGTTCTTTCAGCTTGGGAAATGTCCAGCGTGTTCTTCTTTTTTGGTTTTCTAACTCCAGGTCTTTGCACGTCATTATAATACTTTACTTTGTCTTCTAGAGTAGCCCTTTGAAATCTTCTGTTCAATTTTTTTATTTCATCATTTCTTCCATTTGCTTTAGCTACTCTACATTCAAGAGCAAGTTTCAGAGTCTCTTCTGACATCCATTTTGGTCTCTTCTTTCTTTCCTGTCTTTTTAATCACCTCTTGCCTCCCTGATGTTATTCTACAACTCATCTGCTCTTCGGTCACCAGGGTTCAACCCGTCAAATCTATTCTTAAGATGGTCTCTAAATTCAGACAGGATATATTCAAGGTCACACTTTGGTTCTCATGGACTTCTTTTAATTTTCTTCAGCTTCAACTTGAACTTGCATATGAGCAATTGATGGTTCCACAATCAGCCCCCGGCTTTGTTCTGACTGATGATATTGAGCTTTTCAATTGTCTCTTTCCACAGATGTAGTGGATTTGATTCCTGAGTATCCCATCCAGCGAGAGCCATGTGCATAATTGCCATTTATGTTGTTGAAAAAAGGTATCTGCAATGAATATGTTGTTGGTCTTACAAAATTTTATCAAGTGATCTCTGGCGTCATTTCTATTACCAAGGTCAGATTTTCCAACTACCAATATTTTTTCTTTGTTTCCAACTTTCCCATTCCAATTACCAGTAATTATCAATGCATCTTGATTGCTTGCTTGATCAATTTCATATTGCAGAAGCTGGTAAAAATCTTCAATTTCTTCTTTGGCCTTAGTGGTTGGTGCATAAATTGAAAAATAGTCATGTTACCTGGTCTTCCTTGTAGGTGTATTCATATTTTCCTATCACTGACAGCATTGTACTTCAGGACAGATTTCGAAATGTTCTTTTTGATGATGAATGGGACACTCTTCCTCTTCAATTTGTCATTCCCAGCACAGCAGACCCTATGATTTTCTCATTCAAAATGGCCAATACCAGTCCAATTCAGCTCACTAATACTTCGTATACAGATCTTTATGCATTCTATTTCATTTTTGACAGCTTCCAATTTTTCTAGATTCATACTTTGCACATTCTACATTTTGATTATTAATGAATGTTTGCAGCTGTTTTTTCTCATTTCGTGCCACATCAGCAAATGAAGGTCCTGAAAGGTTTACTCCATCCACGTCATTAAACTCAACTCTACTTTAAAGACGCAGCTCTCCCCTAGTCGTATTTTGAATGCCTTCCAACCTGAGGGGCTCAAGTACTACATCAGACAATGTGCCACTGCTATTCATAAGGTTTTCATTGTCCAATTTTTTTAGAAGTAGATCACCAGGTCCTTTTTCCTAGTCTGTCTTAGTCTGGAAGCTCTGCTGAAACCTGTCCACCATGGGTGACCCTGCTGGTATTTGAAGTACTGGCGGTATAGCTTCCAGCATCACAGCAACATGCAAGCCACCACAGTATGACAAACCGACAGACGAGTGAGGGGGTCTAACATCGTAAGCCAAGTAACCCAAACAAATAAAAAGAAATCTGTATCTGCCCACTTCCTTTACTCAGCTCTGGAAAAGGTGCTATGTCAGGAGGTGTCAAGAACTACCCTCAGACACCCTTTCAACTCAGTACTGAAGTCACTCCTGAGGTTCACCCTTCAGCCAGATTAGACAGGCTCATAAAATAAACAATAAGACATGTAGCTCAAGCATGTATATGAGACTAATTGGTCGCACCAGCCCAGGGGCAAGGATGAGAAAGCAGGAGGGGACAGGAAAGGTGGACGAATGGAAATGGGAACCCAAGGTTGAGAAGGGGAGAGTGCTGACACATCATGGGTTGGCAACCCATGTCACAAAACAATATATGTAATAATTGTTTAATGAGAAATCAACTTGCTCGGTAAACCTTTGTTTAAAGCACTTTATTAAACAACGACAACAACAGCAACTGCCGCAGTTGAGGCTGACTTGAAGCCTGTGGAGCCAGAGACCAACAACCTAAAGCACACGCTCTCCCCCGCCCACCACCAGAGGGAAGGACCCGTCTAACCAGCCCAGTAGCCAATGTCACCATGGGGGAAAAATTACTGCCAAAGAAACCAACACTGTGACAGGTGTGAGGGGCAAACGGAACTCACAACCCTTGGCGTGGTGAGCAAAGAAAGATCATGGCTCATTTAAGGTACTTAATAGCTTGACCGAGGAACAAGAAGTAAGTAACTAGAACAGATGGTGCCTATCAATGGAGATCCATTGAAAGAAAGAAAAAGAACTTTGAACATGTACTAAAGGTTAAACACACACACAACATACTGCAAGAAAATAAGTAGAGAAGGCGATGACCTTTAGATATAAAAATAAAGACATTTCTGAAATGTGAAGATAAAGAATATTTTCTTTGTAATCTTCCAAGAAAGATACCAAGTTTCTAAAAAAGAAAAAAAAACTTAACTGGAATTAGGTTTCTCATCTACAATCTTACATATGTGTCCTTTCGGACAAAACTACTTAAAGACTTTTTCTATCAAAAGTAAATCAGAACAAGCATATCAGGGCAGGGAATCAAAGAAGAGCAGAAAATATAATGAGTCATGAGGACAGAAGATTGCTAAACATCCAGAAGTGAAATCTATAGTATTTCAACAAAATCCATAAATTGATGAAAAAGGAGAGGGAGTGTAGAAGTTAAATGGTGGAGAGTAGTTTTTAGTTTGTGTATGTCAACAACCATTAAATATATGATGGTAATTAATAGCAGAATTAAGATAAAATTTCTAAGTTTGACTGGGGGCAAGGAGAGAGTTGTTAAAAAATACAAGGCAATTTGACTAATCCAATGAAGCAAAAGTAAGGAAAAGGGAAAACTGGGACAGAGGAAGAATAATGAATATAAAAATAAAACCAAAGGATTACGAACAACTGTGTAACTCTTGCAATTATGGAAAGCCTCTCTGGTTTAAAATTGAATTCCAGCCATATATAATTTATAAACCAATCAACCTACTAAATAAACAACCAAAACCTAAAAATTAACAACAACAAAAAAAGGAAAATAAAGGTACTGGCAAAATACTTTCTGTAGAATGAAAACAAAAAGGAGTTAGATCATATTAATACCAGATAGGGCCTATAAAAGAGAAATACTTTTATAGTAAGAGTACAACTCAGATAATACTATTTTATACCTAGATTTTCAAGGAAAAAACAACTAGAATAGAAATTTAATAAATGGTCAGATAAAAAATAAAAATCAATTCTTGTTCTCTATTTTAGTAATCAACACCTACAAATGAAATATTCCATTTATAATTGTAACAAAAAAAGCCACTAAAATCCCTAATGATAAACTTAAGGCACAGAACTTGCATGAAGAAAACGATAAAATCTTCCTGAATGACATAAAGTAAGCCTTGTGGAAGAAAACACTACCACCTGGCATGACAGAAAGACACATACCATTGGATGGTAAGACTTACTGCCATAAAAATGTCAATTCTCCCCAAATTACTATACAACTCTATACGCAAAAAATCAATTGTAATTTTTAATTACATAAAATGATCTTAGAGTTTATATGGAAGAATACATTTGTAAGAAAACTTTTTTTAAAAAAAGTGAAGGGGAGCGTGCCTTACGAAATAACAGAACACACTATACTATCCATCTGCTAATCAAATCAATATGGTATATTTACAACATAAACAACTAGACTGGAACAGAATGAATCCAGAAGTAAATCCACGTGTGTACGTATGACAACTTAGCATAAGATAACTGTGGTGTTTCAAGTCAGTGGGGGAAAATGGATTAGTTAATAAATGGTGATGGCATAGCTGACTACTCTGTGGAAAAAAAATTAAGATGAACCTTTATACCACCCCCTATACATACGTAAGCTCCAGATGGAGTAAGGATTTTATAAGACCTAGAATATGTGGACTAGCTAGGGATGCGAAAACTTCAACCAAGACAAGTGAACCTAGTTCCAGCTTTTGTCTCATAACCCCTATTTGCCTATCCAAAAAGGTGAAACTCTAATGGTAAAAGGTACCATAAACAGGGGCAAGGAATAAAATGATAAATTTGGAACAAATGTTTTGCAACTCGCCTCAGTCACAGTACTCAGCTGCAAACAGAGTAGCTGAATCTACTCTGGCTGGTTAAAGAGATACAAGTTAAGTAACTCATTTCCGGAAGGCCAGAAGAAAATGAAGTTCTACTGCAGCCCACACATAAACAAAAACAAATGAACGGCAAGTGGATGAAAAAGTTACACTTCAATACATACAATTATTTTCATATTGTTTGGGGTAGGGCAGGTTTACTAAGTAAGACACCAAACTTGGAAACATCAAATAAATAACAACTGATCTAAATAAAAATTAAACTTTTGTAAAAGACAAATGAAAACGTAAGCTAAACTAGTACATTAGATTGGCAAAGGTTAAAAGATGGATGATCTTCCATTTTGAAAGGGTGTGAAGAAACAGTACTCTCGTATACCCTCATCAGCGGGGGTGTAAACTGGTATATAGCTTTTTCGGAAACCAGTTCAGCAATATACGGAGAAATATTTAAACTTCCTATCTCATGTCCCCAACAGACCCACAGACAAAGGCTGGGCTGGGAAGGGCTGGGGAGTTTTAACTCCTCTTACCACTTTCTTGCAAGCCCTTCCCCATGGCAGGAGAAATTTGTCCAAATAGTGACATTCATAAATATACTTCTCCATGGCTTGTCAAAGAATACTCATTGCTCGTTAGACATGCTTCCTATCTCTACAAACTGCCAGTGTTCACCCACGTGGGCCAAGGCTGGTCTAGTGGAGCCTTTATGCCGTTAAAGTGAATGGCGAGACAACCATGCCAACCAGCAGCAGAGCTCAGGCTGCAGAGGACTGGATTCCAGCCCCTCCTCACCTCTGTCAGGCACTGGTCTCCCACCCAACCCCTCCACAGGGTCTTACCCTTCCCATCTGCATGGGATAAACCAGCCTTGGGCGAAGTAACGTCTGCTACTCCCACCCCCATACACAGTCACTCCTCAGTCCCCCTTCTCTCCTACAGGGCCTCTGCCAAGGCACACAGGCATCTGCCCTGTCGTTGGAAGATTCTCTATACAGGTTTGGAGGTAGAAGGCCCTGGGCACTCTTAAATCTGGAGTTAATGGAAAGCCTTGAGAAAAGGCTGATACTCTGATCCCTTTGGGGTCTTTGTATGCTTAGTTAAGTATTTGCTAAACTTGCTTAAAGGTAAGAATCCCCTGGCGTGTTTGTTAAAATAGAGATACCAGGTACCACCTCTAATCCACTGAATCAGACTCCAGGAGTAGGGAACTAAGAATATTCTTAACAAGTGCTCCAGGTAATTCAAATGCCAGACCACTGACATTGTGTGTCCAGTCAATTACAACTCATAGCATCCCAGAGGACAGAGTAGAACTGCCCCATATGGTTTCCTAGGCTGTAATTTTTACTGGTGCTGGTGAAGAATACTGAATATACCATGGACTGCCAGAAGAATGAAGAGATGCTCTCTTGGAAGAAAAACAGCCAGAATGTTTCTTAGAAGCGAGGATGGTGTGACCATAATACCACCCCAGCGTGTCTTCTCCTTTTCAGAATGGGCAGCCGAGGTAACGCCTTGAGGGACCTGTGTAAGTTTTTCTTTGCCTTCTCCCTTTTCCCGTACCTTCCTTAATGGCTTTGTTTTGCGCATACCCTTGCTAATGACTCTGTTTTATGACTCAGGATCCCCCACAGGAAGATTAGAGCCCAGATGTTAGAGACCTGTATCTTTAGCCTGGTAAGAAAATGTCAGGTTCCCTATCACTTTAGTATGACAGTCTCTTGTAATTATCTTGGAGTGAATAACAACACTTCTAACCTTTGTAAAAAATCATACATAAGCTCTGATGTAAAAATGCCTTTGGGGACTCCCCAAGGACAGCCTGTGTTGCTGCTGGGTCCCCGGTGATGTACACTTCCTGAATTAAAAACTTTCTCACTTTTTCTAACTTGGAGTAAGTTTCATTGGCTCAACTGCTCCAGGGCACGGACCCTATTCAGGTAACAATGGTGAGACTCCATCTCACATACTTTGGACACACTATCAGGAGGGACCAGTCCCTGGAGGACACCACGCTTGGTACAGTAGAGGGTCATCGAAAAAGAGGAAGACACTCGACAAAATGGACTGACACAATGGCTGGAACAATGGGCTCAAACATAGCAACGATTATGAGGATTGCGCAGGACCAGGTAGCGCTTTATCCTGTTGTACATAGGGTCGCTATGAGTCGGAACCCAGTCGATGGCACCTAACAACAATCTTTAATGGAACAGATTGCCAAGTCTTTTCTCCTGAGGAGCCACCGGTGGGTTCAAATCACTGACCTTTTGGTTAGCAGCAGAGTGCTTAATCATTGTTACCTTGCCATTGCTCAGAGTAGAGCTGCCCCATAGGGTTTCCTAAGCTGAAACATTTATGGGAACAGATCACCAGGTCTTCTCTCCTGTGGAGCAACTTGTGGGTTCAAGCTGCTGACCTTCTGGTTAGCAGTGGGTTTGAGCTGCCGACCTTCCGGTTACAGAGGTCTACACTGAGCTTTCAGGACCACTCACCTGGACCACACATCTCACCTGAACAGGACCTTTGACATGAACTACCGCAGTAGTCCCATAGTTGGTCCCTCTGTTCCAATTTTTCATTCCATAACTTATCCAAAGCCAATTCCAGACTAATCATCCCAAAACCCAGATCAAGCCTTGTCACTTCCCAGCTCCAAACCTTTGATATTTCCCTGTTTTCATTACCAGTCCATTCTTACCTGTTTTTTTCCTCAACTTAATTCAATTAACTGGCAGCTGTGTTACTGAGACAACACATCTTAGTGGGCCTGGTTTGGATGCCCAACCTGTGAGTGCCCACAGCACATGAACTCTGTCACAGCACTGATCATTCCAGCTTATCTCACGAAATCTAAGGTGCCATTCATTAAAAACCACATCCCAATCTCAGAAATAAAGCTATGAAAAAACGTGCAACTTAGAATCAGTAAAGTAGAATGTATTGAAATTGTCTTCTCTTTTGTTACATACATTTCTCAATAGACTGCAAACTCTTTGCAAACGGGAATTACATTTTGTTCGCTTTTGTATCCCAGGATACAGCACATGGTAGGTCATCAAATATTCACTGAATATGTTACTAAACACTACTATTAAAGTGAATGTTATCCTGTTTTGCAAATTGGGAAACAGAAGTCCACTGAGATACATAAACTGTTCTGTTACCCAGGATTTATACTCAGCGCCCCCCAGGCTCTGGAGGTTGTGCTCTGTCTGCTGGGACCCACCAGCTCAAGGAGCTCTCCCCTCCCACTGCACATCTGTGTATGAATGGACTAGTTACTTCTAGTACCCGTAATAACATGACTTTACCTGTTCCTACTGGATTAGGAGTGTATGGTGGTGGAGGAGGGACACCTGGAGCTATGACATTGGCTAATGGTACCAGACCTGCATTGTTATAAGCACCTGAAATAAAAACATAATAGAAAAATACAGTTAAGCATTATTCTGCAGCCAGGAGTTCAAACTGTATTAATGCAGCTATCTAATTTATTTTAAAAATTGTTACATGATAGGGTTGCATTTTACATGGAGGTTTGGGCCTAAGGTTAGGTGAAAGTCACATATAAAAACCACCCTTAAGAGTCCCCTGGGCACTACTACATGAAAATCATGTGAAACTCAGAGCAAATGGAAAAATCAGATTCATATTTCTGACTACATGCTCGTTTCAGGTATAAATTCACAGAACTGAACAGCAGGCGACACCAAACATACTTAAATTATCTGCCTTTCCCGTCAAGCACACATACCTGACTTTCCTGAGATAAAGCACTAATGATGCCTCTGATCAGAATCCAACTACCAAAAAGGGACTCAGGATGATCTCCTGTTAATTTACTAAGTGAGAACTAGTCACAATTGTTAAAAATAATTTATAATGGCAAATGACTTGTGACCTATGTATTGACCACAATAACAAAATTATAATTAGTTTATCAAAAGGAAACTCCTACATGAAGTCTGTCTGCTGCTCCGTTGCAGAAAAGGACACTAGCAGCCAACTGTGGGCAAAACTAAGCCCACTGCAGCGCATTTCAGAAGTGCTCCAGGTTCCCCAAGTACATACATCGGCATCTACTTTCAATTTAATAAACAGAAACAGCAAGAAAGAAAAAAAAGAGAAAGAAGAGAAAGAAACTCCTTACTTGGTGCAACAGTTGCATGTGGCCGGCACGGAGGGATGGGATAAGGAACAGGTTTATGTGGATTGTACGTCGAAGGAGGCTACATGAAGGGGAAAGTATTCCAGTTAGAAGAAAGCAAGTAAGCTGTCTCCTGGCAAAACAAAACACAAAACTTGCCTTTCAAAATATTTAGTCCTAATAGGCTAAAAATGCCCCCGAGCATCAAATCCTACCAGACTAACACACGGCACAAATGAGAGAAAGTTCTTTTGCTTTAATAAATGGGCTCCCTATTAAATTCCGATGGAGATTCTGTCAAAGACAGCTGTGGAGGTGTTTCTTTTTTATTTCAGCATCATTCCTGATGACAGGTCAGGATTTATCCTCACAGCAACCTCCTCTCTGACTCAGCACAGGTTAATCCACGAGCGCCTATTCCTCGTACAAAACACAAGAAATTGCTAGGTTCTGGGATCTTGGTTACCCAAGAAGCTCCAATGGCGACATCCTCCTAAACTCATTAGGAATTAACCCTGTCATTCCCATCCTCTTTTCACCTTTTGGAGAAAAAGCACTGTTTGTCTTAGCATTTGGCATTTTGGAAACTCCTGCAGAACGCAGATTGGAATTATTGCTGTTGTTAGCTGCCATGCAGTTGGCCACTGACTCACGGTGACACCATGCACAACGGGATCAGACTGTTGTGATCTATAGAGTTTCCACTGGCTGATTTTGGGAAGTAGGTTACCAGGCCTTTCTTCCTAGTCTTAGTCTGGAAGCTCCACTGAAGCCTGTTCAGCATCATAGCACTACACAAGCCTCCACGAACAGGTGGCTGTGCTGAGGTGCACTGGCCAGGAATCAAACTCGGGTCTCACACACGAAGGCAAGAATTCTACCACTGACCAACCACTGTCTCCAGAATGGAATTTAGGAATTCAATTATTTCAGCCTTTTGCCTTTTGAAATATCCTTAAATCCAAAAATATTTTACTTCATAGTTGATGGAACTTATACAAATAACAAGGACATTCAAAGAATTGGTTTTTATAGAATCTGATAGCCAAATCTAAGCCAAGTGTGCACTTTAACACTGAGAGAGCGAGCCCTTGTGGTGGGGGCAGAGGCTCCACCGGCAGTGAGGGACTCAGGTTCTTTCTAGCTCTCATAATATTGGCCCTGTCTGAGGCACTAGCCTTGTGCGAAGACTGTGATGTCTGCGACTGGTTTGCCACGGGAATGCCTGTCATGTGGATAGTCCAGGACTGCCAGGTGGCTGTGTATAGGCCTCTGGTACCTCCCCTCCAACAAGTCTTCAACCTACAACACTGTCCTCTCCACTCCTGTTTATGTTTCAGTCACTCATTATAATCGCACCCTTGAAAACACTCTCAGCCCCTGGCTCCATTCTTGTTTCACCACGACTGAAGCTGATCCGGCCAACCTATAACCTTAGCTCAAGCGAACTTTCCACACGCCATACCTCCAACTGCACAACTGAATGTGGCTGGAGAAAAATACATTCTTTTTTAAACTGGTCTCACTTTAAAATTAAATATTTAACCTCAAAAAGGTCCTTAACACTGCTGACTGAGCACACTATACTTCCCAGCCCATTCACTGACTCTCCTAGACTCTCTAGTACACTCTGAACTTGCCAACACAAAAACTCAACTTATGCTTTGAATAGACAGAAAACTTCACGTAGAAGTTAAGACTTGTTTAATCGTTTACTTTGTAAACATACTGGTTTGGATGGTCCAAGAATCCGTGCAGCTATTCCTTTGCCTTCATTGGTACATTCTTCACCATCTTTTTTCAAAGGGGTTCCCTATTTGGAAAAAAAAAAGGTAATTCAGACCAAAAAAAGCAAAACCCAGAACCAAACAAACAACAACAAAACCAGTGTTATGCTGAAGTAAAGGACTTAACTTAGAAGGAGTTTACAGACTTGGATCCTAGACCCAGTTCTGCCCCGGCCAGCACCATGACCCTGACAAGGTCCTCAAGCTCTATATGCCACAGGACCCTCCTAACACTTGCAGAGTGACACCTGAAGCCAACACGCAATATACAAGGTGGATAGCAGAAGTGGAGCATAAGGTATGTTCTAATCTTTTTTTTTTTGTTTACCAAAAGAAGACTTCCAATGGTACGGCATGTACAATGGTTAAAGAATCAAGAGCAGTACCTATAATATAGTTGAACGTAGACGAGGAAAATAGTGTCCTCTGTAACCATTAAGTGTGATTGTTCATACTGTACGAGGGCAAGCAAAACGTCATTCAAGACTGCCGTAATTAACAGACCAGAATAAGCTGACCGACTACCACGGGGTCTATCAGCACAGCAACCTTCCAAGACACCCCAACGATCCCCACTTCCTGTGCCCTTGGGTGGCCCCCTCCCACGATGCACAGGGGTGACGTGTGTAACACACAGGTCATTGCAGAAATGATGGTATTTGACTTCCAAGGCTATGTCATAAAAGGCTGCCACTTGTTCTCTTGGATCACCCACTCTGGAGGAAGACGCTGTCATGCCATGAGGACACACAAGCATCCCTATGGAAAAGCCAGTGGTGAGGAACAAAGGCCCTACCAACAGCCATGCCTAACTTGCTAGGCATGTAAGTTAGTCACCTAGGGAGCATACTCTTGAGTTGCAATCAAGCCTGCAGATGACTGCATCCTCGTGAGAAAGCCTGAGCCAGAACCAGCCCGGTAAGCAACTCCCAGATTCCTGGGCCACAGAAAACTGTGTAAGGTAGTACATATTTATTGTTTTAATCTACTAAGTTTTGGGGTTTTTGTTACACAGCAATAGAAATATACCGTCCTTTGGAAAAGTTCTTTCACAAAGAGGTGTGAGGAACACTGGATGATATAAAAACAAGTTTCCTTCCTACATACAGGGCTCCTCAGTGTCTGTATTACATGATGTGATTCTCTCAGAATAGGACATTACATGCAACGTTCCCCAATATACTGAACTGCGAAACTGTCTAAGGAATAGTGAACATTTGAAAAATGCTGCTTTACTAAATGTAACATCAGTGCTTCCATAATGCTTGGAAAAACAAAGCAAAATAAAACCTAAATCCTCTTTTGTGTTTGGCTTTTTTCTTTAGATTTCACACAAATATTTTAATGTAGTTTAAATATGAGCTTTCAATTAGTGGTGAATCTATGAATTAAGTTGCTGACATAATAAAATTTCTTTCCTTTGTGAAAGCATCATCAACTGGCATTTTTAAAATATCAAAACTATGATAAATTAAATACTTAGCCAAGAAAAGTTTTATATATAGCCATAAAATTATGCTTACTGGGAAAATTCCATTTATGCGACTAGGCTTTCCTTTGGGATATGGATTTCCTGGAATCGTTCCACAAGAAGATATCATAGCGTGAGGAGCTTTGCAGCCTCCCTTGAAAGCCTGTAATAAAACAAACAAGAGGTGGTAAAAATTAAAAAAAAAAAAAAAAAAAAAAATCAAATCAAATCAAACTCAGAAAGTCAACTATTCTGTGTATTGAAAAGCCTGGTTAAGGAACATGAGTTAAAGAACCACATCACTTCCAATCTGTTCGTACACCATCAGTACTTACTGGTACAGCTGTGAACATGACCAAAATTAATAAGTAAAATCACTTTACTTAAATGGGATTATTAAAACAGTCACGTAATAAAGTTGTTAATGTTGCAACTAATCAACTCCTATATAAGATATCCTCACATGGATTTTGTAAACTATGTGCAGAAAAGCCGATTTATGATTTAACCTGTATCATCTCTCCAACCAAAACATAACATAGTCCAATTCTACAGACAGTAAGCTCACGCTATAGGCAAAGCAAGGAGGGCCCAGAGATGAAAGGGACATGGTCCTTGCTCTGCAGGAGTTTACAACTTAGAGGAGAAAACACAACAACACTGGACACTGACGTCCAAAGACTGGACACTGCGTGTCCACAGTTGTGCTGCTGATAGAGAGAGTTCTCTGTCAAACACAGTGCTAGACACAACGGAGCAACACAACGGAACACAAGACACACTAAGGGAAGAGGTACTTCCCTAGCTTGTTTACTGTTACATTCTGGCTTCTGAAACAGGTACCTAACACGTATTGATTAACTTGATGCTCAATATTTATTAAGTGGATAAAACACATTATATTATGTGACATACATTCCCATAAATCCATATTGTATAGGGATACACCCACTCCTCACTTACCAACACGATTAGCCTCCAAAGACAAGGTCATTATGTGAAAATTGGTGCTATGCAGAAATGGATGACCACATCAGATCACAAAATACTACGTGGGACACATATGTCCCTCTGGATTCGGGGCAGGACTGGTGGGATACGTATGTCCCTCTGGACTTGGGGGGCAGGACCGGTGGGATATGTACATCTCTCTGGACTCCAGGGGCAGGACCGGTGGGATACATACGTCCCTCTGGACTCGGGGTAGGACTGGTGGGATACAAATGTCCCTCTGGACTTGGGGGGGTGGGATTGGTGGGATAAATATGTCCCTCTGGACTCAGGGAGTAACACAGGTGGGATGCATATGTCCCTCTGAACTTGGGGAGGAGGACTGGTGGGATATGTACGTCCCTCTGGACTCAGGGAGTAGGACTGGTGGGATACAAATGTCCCTCTGGACTCTGGGTGTAGTAGGACTGGTGGGATGCATGTGTCCCTCTGGATTCTAGAGGGTAGGACTGGTGGGATGCATATGTCTTTCTGGACCTGTGGTAGGACTGATGGGATGCGTATGTCTCTCTGGACTCTAGGGGTAGGACTGGTGGGATGGATATGTCCCTTTGAACTTGGGGTAGGACTGGTGGGATACATATGTTTCTCTGGACTTTGGGTAGGACTGGTGGGATGCATATATCCCTCTGGACTCCGGGGGTATGACTGGTGGGATACATATGTCCCTCTGGACTCTGGGGGTAGTGGGACTGGTGGGATACATATGTCCCTCTGGACTCTGGGGGTAGTGGGACTGGTGGGATACATATGTCTCTCTGGACTCTGGGGGTAGTGGGACTGGTGGGATACATATATCCCTTTGGACTCTGGGGGTAGTGGGACTGGGGGGATGCATATGTCCCTCTGGACTCTGGGTGTAGTAGGACTAGTGGGATGCATACGTCCCTCTGGAGTCTGAGGGGTAGGACTGGTGGGATGCATATGTCCCTCTGGACTCTGGGTGTAGCAGGACTGGTGGGATGCATATGTCCTTCTGGAGTC